GGGCTTTTTAAAGTTCCTCTCCAACTCCTATAGTTTTTGACAAAAATCAGAATTCAGGGGAAGTAACTTCTAGGTGGAGTCGGTTGACAATTTCAGCCATGATGACTGATTTGCAGATCTTACTGTGATGAACATTTTTGCTTTTATACTGTTTCTCTCCATCTATTACAGTTTGTGCAAAAACTGCAAAAATGTAAAACAAATCATCTTTCAAAGACAATAACTCTTCTCAGGCGAAAATTTAGGATGTTAACCAGGTTAACTTATTTGTGGATCTTATTTTGCTGAACAGTCATTTTTGCCATGTATTGTTGCTCTCTATCTTTGTTTCTGCAAACAAAAAAAACAACATAAAATGGGTAAAAATAGTCAATTTGTAGATCTTATTGTGATTAAGATCTTTGCTATTTACAATTTATCTCTACCTATAAAGGTACAACATGAAAAAAATTGATAAAAGTCATCTTACAAGGGCAATAACTCCTAGAAGTGGTCAAATGGCAATTTCGGCCTAGTTTGCCTATTTATAGATCTCATTTTGCTTAACACTTTTGCTATTTACAATTTCACTTCATCTTTTCTAGATTCTGCAAAAAAAGGCAAAAATTAGTAAAATTAGTCTTTCGTGGGCAATAACTCCTATAAGGGGTCAATTGACGATTCCTTCGTGTTGACTTACTTGTAGATCGTATTTTGATGATCATTTTGACTATCAAAACATTCTCTCTATCGGCTATTGTTTCCATAAAAAAATGCAAAAAGGATAAAAATCATCATTTAAGGACAAGGATTCCTATAAGGGGTCATTTGATGATTTCTGCCAAGATGATTTGTTTGATTTGTTTGTAGAGTGTTTTGTTCTGTTCATTTTTACTTTTTAAAATGCCTGTTATAGTTTTAAAAGATAAGATCTTAAAACCTGAATTTGCAAAACATTGATTTTTCAGGGAAAATAACTTCAAAATGGGAATGTCTGAAAATTTCACAGGAAATAGACTTGACCTGCTGATCATTTTCCCCACGTCAGAGTTGATCTAACTGCTTTAGTTTTTGAGATATAAACCAAAAACTGCATTTTACCTCCATGTTCTAGTTTTAGCAACAGCTGCCACGTTTGTTGATGGATCAAATCCCCTGATAAAATTTTATAACTAGATACCCTAAGGAACAGTCAGGTAAAGTTTGGTAATATTTGGCCAAGAAGTTTCAAGAAGATTTTTCTTTTTAAAGTTTTCGACAATGGACGGACAGACACAACGATGGACACCATAATAATATTAAGATGATACATAACCCAAAACTGTAAAATTTCCTAAAAATTAACTATTTCTGGACAGTAACCCAACAATAAGTTGTCCTATTGGTCTAAAGATTACTTGACAGGTAGATCTAAACCTGTTTAACACTTTCACCTATGTCAGTTTTGCTCTTACTGCTTTAGTTTTTGAGATGAAAGCCAAACACTTCATTTGACTCCTATGTTCTATTTTTAAAACTGCCGTCATGTTTTTAAATGGATCAAATCCCCGAATACAATCTATAAACTAGATACCCTAAGGAACATTCGATTAAAGTTTTTAAGTATTTTGCCAAGTAGTTTCACAGAAGAAGATTTTTTTTAAAGTAATTAGACTTTCACAAAAAATGTAAAAAAAACGTTTTAAGGGCAATAACTCCTTAAGGGGTCAATTGACTATTTTGATCGTGTTGACTTATTTGTAGATCTTACTTAGCTGAACATTTACTGCCATTTATACTTTCTCTCTATCTATTATAATATTAAAGAAAATAACCTTAAACAGTACAATTTAATAAAAATAAACTATTTCCAACAGTAACCCAACAATGGGTTGTCGAACTTGTCTGAAAATTTCATAACAGATAGATCTTGACTTATTCATCACTTTATCTCCCTGTCACTTTTGCTCTAACTGCTATAGTTTTTGAGATAAAAGCCAAAAACTGCATTTGACCCCTATGTTCTATGTTTAGCCATGGTGGCCATGCTTGTTAATGGATCAAAACTTCGGATACAACGTATAAACCAGTTACCCTAAGAAACATTCAGTTAAGTTTAGAAGTATTAAGCCCAGTAGTTTCAGAGGAGAAGATTTTTAAATGTTAGCAAAACATGATGGCCAAATTGTGTAAAATTGTCTTTAAAGGGCAATAACTTCTTAAGGGGTCAATTGACAATTTTGGTCATAATAACTTTTTTGTAGATCTTACTTTGGTGAACATTTTTGCAGTTTACAGTTTATCTTTATCTTCAATAATATTCAAGATAATAACCAATGAAATGCTTCACTGGACGCAGCCTAATACGACCACAGAGGTAGAACCCTGAACAGTTGGGGCAAATTTGGACACAATATTCAAGCTTGATACTGTCTGAATTTGGATTGTTATCAAATTTTTGACATAATATGGGTTTCTGACACAAAATAAATGTAGTCAAAGATCTTAAAAATCTATTGCACATTACTGTTTAATTGAAGATTTCTTCTTGGAAGTTTTCAAAAAATTTGAAATTTGAAAAATTTTGAAAAAAAATATGAACCCCTTAAAAAAATCCCCTCCCAAAAAAACTTTTTGAACCCCCCCCTTGGAGCAATTACCCCCAAACTCAATCCCAGCCTTCCCTTTGTGGTATGGAACCTTGTAGTACAATTTTAGAGAGATCGATTCACTTAAACACAAGTTATTGTCTGGAAACTAGAAAAATGCTTGTTTTTTGCCAACCTTCCTTATGTGGTATTGAACCTACTTGTAAAATTTTATAGAGATCCATTCACTTAAACTAAAGTTATTGTCTGGAAACCAAATGTGTCTTCGGACGACGACGACGACGACAACGACGACGACATCATAGCATTATACGAACCCAAAAAAAATTTTGCAGCCGTATAAAAACTGCAAAATTTCCTTAAAATTACCAATTTAGTGGCAGCAACCCAACAATGAGTTGTTCTGTGCGTCTGAAAATTTCAGGGCTGATAGATCTTGACCTATAAAACAATTTTACCCCTCTCAGATTTGCTCTAAATGCTTTAGTTTTTGAGATATAAGCCAAAAACTGCATTTGACCCCTATGTTCTATTTTTAGCCATGGCGGCCATGTTTGTTGATGGATCAAAACTTTGGATACAATTTATAAACTAGATACTCTTAGGAACATTCTGTTAAAGTTTGATGGTATTTGGCCCAGTAGTTTCAGAGGAGAAGATTCTTGAAATAGTTTACGACGATGACGACAGACGCCAAGTGATGGCATAAGCTCACATGTGGCCCTCGGGCCCAGGTGAGCTAATGACAGAACAACCATTAGTCAGCAAATCACTACAAAGAAAACAAAAGAAATGATGGTCTTTTGTTGTGCCCAAGTATTTGTCTTTCAATATGATTTTTTAAATCTTATTTGTATATATATTTATCTATCATAACTATTAATGCAAATACATATAAACCAAGAAAGCATAATTGTTTTGTTTAAAACATGTCCTTTTTCAGGTTGAATGACCAGTTAAGAAAAGATAGAAAATACAGTTGAAGGCAAAGTTGTACAAAATCTTAACGTATAGATTCGCACATATTGAGAAATACTAAACTGTAGCGTTTTATTGAATGTTGTTCCTCAGTGTTTTTTTTTGTCATGATGTTGTCCGTCTTTACTAGACTTATGTTTCTTTATTTTCTTTCTTTTGTTACATCTTTTAAATCTAAACGGCTATATTCACACATATTAAGAAATACTTTTCATGTTGGTCAAACTGTATTGTTTTGTGTTCCTCATATTTTTGCCATGGTGTTGTCTGTCTTTCATTGACTTGTGACTTTTAATTGTCTTTCTTGTTTTTAAATCAAAAGTGATAGTGTTGTACATTTGAATGAACCATATATTTACAAGAAAAGAAAAAAAATGAGATATACATGGTTCCATGCTGATGAAACACCTTGAGACAATTTTAAAAGCATATTCAAAATAATTGGGGCCAAACTTTTTTTTTTTAAATTCTAAGAAGTTAATGAATGCTAGTTATAGAAATTGCTTTGTGCTGGAAACCTTAAATGGTCTGGAGTGGAGAAATATGGTATCACATTCAATGCAGTGGTAGAATTTATATTTATCATTATAATAGTATTGTTACAAATATATATACTTCAAGAAATCATAATTGCTTAGATTTATTTTATTGATATTACTTCATGGCTTTGCTCTTCAATTCAAAGTTGTAGTGTAATCATCAGTTTGCAACGAATTCCGCTCAAACCGGTGCTAGGGGCCATCTTAAACTTGTAGTGGGATGAAAGTTTTTTTGCTCAGTGTTGGAAGGCCACACTGTGACTTGGAGAAAAAGAACAGTAATAAAAGCGCTGTTCCTTTGCTTTTTGCTGTGCACATCCTGATTTTGTGTCATGGATGGATACCCCATATCCCTTCTTTTCTACTTTGTTTAAAACATGCCCTTTTCAGGTAGACCAGTGAAGAACAGAGAGAAAACACAGTTGAAAGACAAAGTGTAAAAAATCATAACTGTTAGATTCATACATATTGAGAAATAATATATGTGCTGCTCAAACTGTAGTGTTTTTTGTTCCTCATTCTTTTGCCATGGTGTTGTCTGTCTTTCATTGACTTGTGACTTTTTATTTCTTTCTTTAGCTACATGTTTTTAATCAAAAGTGATAGTGCTGTAAGTTTAACTGAACCATACATTTACTAGAAGAAAAAAAACAGTGATGAGATATACATCTTTCAATGTTCATGAAACAACTTGAGACAATTTAAACAGCACATTCAAAATGATAGGGTCCAAACTAGTTTTTTATTCTTTAACTCTAAGAAGTTAATGGATAGATGTTAAATGCTAGTTATATAAATTGCTTTGCGACTGGAACCTTAAATGGTTGAAGAAAGAACACTACAAGCCTTGAAATTAGAATGCAAAGATATTCTTGCTTTATACAGTATTTCTGTGGCATAAATATGATAAGGCAACTTTTAATATTGTATCAAAATGTATTTGTATAAAAATAACAATACAAAATCTAAGCAAAAAACATCAACAAGATGACATAAGTTGTACATTTCAATAACTGACTAGAGAAAGAGATTTCATTCACAATGAACTTAGAACAATTTCTTGAAAGGCCACAAAAAATAAATATTAAGCTCTTTAAAGAAAATTTAAAACAGGCCTTATATTTTCTGACTGAAATTAAGTTTAAGAGTTCATTAAATAAACAGTGATAATCCTTAATACCATAATATTGATGACTTTTGAAAACCATACATTACTACAAATGTACCTGATGCAGAGTTTTTAAAATGGACGAGTGGATGATTATGCGTACATGGCTGTACTCGGAAGCACTACAAAATTGTATTGTTTCCATGACCCAATTGTAAGGTAAAGCTTTACATTATTATACTTTATCAGGTCAAACTCGAGAGAATCTACTGAATAAAATGTGTTTTGTATGCACCCAAATTAATTTTCAAACATAACTGGGAAAATTCATAATGATATATTTAAAATTTGGTAATTGATAACTTTGGCAAAATATTTTATAGCATCCATATTTTTTTCCTTGGCTAAAACTATGCAATGAATGTTAAAACCTGTTCCATTTTAAAGCACCTACCGCCATGGAAACATGGTAAACAATAGCTAAATTTATCCAAATGAAAACAATACTACTTACATTTTGTAATCATTCTTCTATTTGGATATGTTTTGTTTATTAAAATATTTTGACTTTATATGAATTAAATGCAGATTTTATAATTTTTAAGTAGTAAAAAAGCAAGTAACAGTTCCAGGCTTCCCTCAAATGTGCATTACTTACATGCTTATTGGTCAAAATTGGAAAATCTGCATTAAATTTTTACAAACAGTGATTACATTAAATACATCTATTTTCATATCATTAAGCATAAAAACTATAAGATTAACAATTGAAGAATAAAATAATTATGCAGTTACTGAGTAAAAGTCCAAATTTTTATGGTCATTTGATTAAAAAATCTAAATAGGCAGGATGAAAAAGTCTATAGAACATTGGTCATTAATATGGAGTGAATATCTATGATATTTAACATGAATTAAGATTATAACATTTATACGGAAGTCAGAAACAAATTTAAAGCCAAATAAATTTTTCACAAAAATAACAAATCTTTAATTTTCAAGCCATGGCAAAAAGTTTTTTTTTTCCTTTTTTGTTTATATTTTATCTACAAACCATTCTCATTCCCATATAATGACATAATTTCTCTTTCCATTCTATACTTCCATATTTAATGAATTAATGTAAATTGAAAGACTTTATTTTAAATCATAGCCAAATAAGTATCAGTTGCTGATACTTGTAAAAATATTTTCAGGAATTAAATTAAACAAGCATTCTGAGAGTATTGCATGGCAATACATAGTCCCCTACTGGTTAAACATTCATTGTACTGGAACAAAATGCGACCTTGATCTATAACTTGTCATGGTGTAAACTATATAACAAATATCAAGTCAATGTCTTCAAGCATGACGAAAAAAAGTGTGGAAAACTGATTATTTAAGTGAATTTTCTAAGTCCAAGGAACATAACTCTGCACAAAATCATCAGACCGGAACAAAATTCGAACTTGATCTGTAACTTGTCATGATAAAACAACAAAAGAAAAAAAGTGTGGAAAACTGATTTGCCGGACTGACGGATGGACAGACAGACAGACAGACAGATAGACGGAGTGCAAACCTAAATTCCCCATTGACTTCGTCGGTAGGGGACTTAAAAAGTATTTGATACACAAACTTCCATTCTGTAAATAAAGAGAGAAAGAAAAAAATCATTCAATTTGATGGTGCCTGAAAATAAATAAACTATTTGTTTTTATGTTTTGTTTAGAAAAAATGACAATACCTGAAAACGTCATCACACTTAAAACTAAAAGAACTTTGTCCACCGAGAATGTTTTGTAGAACACATACATGTATGCATACAGAAGAAAAAAATATATGCACAAAGATAATAGATAGTAAAGCATTTCTTGCTACAACCACTTTAAAATGATATGATCCTCATATTTTGCACATATTAATAAGCAACCACATTTGCCTTTAATATATCCATGCATAACACACACTAAATCACTTAAAATATATATACATACAAATGCATAATAATAAAAATCTATAGATATTTATACAAAAATAGAACCAACATATCTGGATTTCTTACTTTCTGAGATGTGTTTGTAGCATTTCATAGTACTATAATATGTAAGGATCCCTACATCAAACAGAGTAGTTTCCCCTTGTTCCATCAGCAACCCTGATCAGGAACACTTCCTTGTTTAATTATCTCCCCTTTCAAGGCAAGACATTTAAACTTTTCAGTGATTTGTTCTTAAGCAGTAAAAAACACTTTTCATGATTGATTGATTGATAATTGTTTGTTTAATGTAAGAAATGTCAACAAAAAGAATTCATAACTGAAATATGAAAAATCAACTACAAAATTTTACAATTTCAACAAGTGTATTTACAGAATGTTAAAATAAATATACTCAAAACAGTTTACATAAAATTTCCCAATTCTAACAGATGTATTTACAACACATTAAAATGGATATACCGCAAACAGTTTACAAAAATTGAAGAATACAAAAATGATCTAATATAATCTCATAAAATTTGCTTTGCTATATATACATAGGTATTTTGCATTTCCCCTCTTGATCAAATGACAGTAACTGAATAAAAAGTTATTTTTTCCTAACTCACATACCATTTAACTTGTTTAAATTAAAATGTAACAAAAAGTACGTTGCATATTTATTTTTAAAAAAAATGTACAAAATTCAGCAATACAGTTTATATGTTTACAGTAAAGTTCTACATGCATCAAAATATTTTAATATTTACAAGATGACAATGTGTATACCATGTGATTTCCATGATTACCTAAACTGGTAGCATGCCAGGCAAATAATTTTAAAATTGCTTAAGAAATCAATATTCATACAATATTTATACATTTTACTTTTGTCAACCAACATCACTACATATATGTATGTTTAAAATAAATATTCGAATAAGAATGTGTGCCCATAAAATGCCATGGCCCACTCACACTATCTTATTTACATATGGGTCAAAACTTTATATGGCATATATTTTTAAAAGTTTATATCATAATGAAAATGTTTACTTAATTTCAAGACTTAAAAAATTTAAGTAGAAGTGATCAAAACTTCAAGGTAAACTACTTTAAACAAAAAGTATCAACTTATGCCGGACAGACTAACAGAGGGACACACACACCTGAAAACATTATGCCCTCTCTATCGCAGACAGGGCATTAAAAATAGACTTTGCTTTGCCAAATGTTTGAATGCATGGCATAGGAAAGATCTAGAGAGGTTACAAAAACAAGAATTAAAAATTGATCGTAAGTTAGTATATTGTAATGTTCATGACTTACAATTGTTATAACACAAAAGTTTTTTTTGGGAAATGAGTCTATAACACAATTAGATTTATGAAATCAATGTCATATACAGATATTTTAGAAGACATATTTTTTTTATAAATATATCTATAGATATGTACATATGTGGACCTTACTACTGAGTACAGTAACACTCAAAGTCATACGGAATCCATCCAATCAAAATACTAATATATTATATGTTGATGGATTTTTATACTGTTCCCGCTTTACCATCAGTTTATCATTAAAAGACAGGTATACCATTCTACATTAACTAGTACAAACACTGGGGTCACTAGGAAGAGAACCTTCACTAAAGGTCATAGCACCATCATATCATTAGCACAAGGATAGACCATCACTTCCTCACTTTCTTAGCTGCACTGGGCTGTGATAATGTAACCTGCTGAGGTTGTTGTTGTGAATCTGCTGATCCTAACTGTACAAGCTGTAAATAATCGATGACATGATTTATTATCAAATATTTTCTGAAGATTTTTTATAAAACTAGAGATGCAATATTTCTGCTCATTCTTGCAAGGATGTACATATTAAATGCAAATGCAGACATTTTTGTTGGTGTTTTAATTTCTTGGATGATTTTATGCAAGAAGTCAAAATGTCTATGAAAATACTATTCAACATTACTTTCTCGAACTGGAACTACACAAATGAATTTTTACAAGCCAAAACCATGAAATGTTAACCCCAGGAAATTTTTGTTCCTACAGCTGTTTTAAGGTTATCTTGTAACATTTTATTTATCTTTGCTTAGATGACATTGTCAGGAGTTAAGTCATGTTCATGTTTAGATTTTTTTCATTCTATTCTGATGACAATAATTTTCATTTTGGCATTGTTTCACATTTTTTGATAAATGATTTTGTAAAAGTTCCTTTTACTGTACAGCTAGCTGACTGTTGTCATTGAAGTCCTCTTGTCAATCAAACACAATCTCTAATATTTGCAGAAGAATAATAAATATGACATACCTGTGTGTTACCATTTATTGAGACAGGAACAGGTATGGTAATATACTGCTGACCTCCTGAAATTTATAAATTATATGTAAAAAGGGAGATAATTCAAAACTATATATAACAACATTAAGGAAATTCGCTACTCTGTTTTAAAATAACAAACTTTTCAAAAGACTGTTATAAATTGGTAGTATTCCAAAAGTGGAACTAAATTAGCTGAAAAAAAATAAAGGGTCTGTGTCCTTTTTTTTCGAGATATAAGCTATTGAAAATTTGGTGGGAAATGATTCTTTCTAGAATAATCGTACATTAAGCATTGACACCTTTTTCCTTTCAAAAACTACGACAAAATAACAAGGATTTTATAAGATTTTCAAATATGGGTTTTTAAACTATGTATATATTAAAATTATGAAAAGAAAAGTAGGTTAGCTGGCAAATTTTTTTAATGGCACTATATGGATATAATCAGAGGATTCCGAAAATATCTAAATATTGTATTCTTCATCTTTCAAAAAATATTATCTAGTATATGTATTATTAATAACCATTTTGCCTTCTTTTAGAAAAAAAATAATCTTTTTCTTGATAAAATAATTTGCTTTCATAAATTTGTTAGAGCTTGTTCATTAACAATTGGCTTGGTTGGCCTACTTACATAGGGAGATATACATTGGTTCAGGTACATCACTTAATAAATCAGAAATAAGGCCAGAGAACACAGTTTTCTTTTGGACAATAAATGAAAATTTTAAAAAATCCCACCTGCGCTTTCTCAATTATATTTTTACAGTGTGTTGTACTACTTTTGGGACAAATTATATAAAAATTATTGGAAACTTCATCAGTTCTAACTCAAAATATGGACAATTTTATGTTAAGGGGGGTCTTAAATTCTGTTGACAGCTTCAGACATACTAATTTTTAACCTTTTTCAGCTGGACCAAATCACTACTTTACTTTAAAATTCAATTCAATTTAAAAAAACTTGTGTTCCCGGATCATAAAATTGAAATGATCAGTGTTACTCAGAAGCTTACAAAATATTTGTGAAAATGGTTGACACAAACTTACCAATGATTTTAAAGAGTTATGTCCCATATCTATACTCTTCAAAGATTGAGATATTATTTAGCAATAATTGAGATTTCTTATCAAGAAATGTAGTCATAACAAGCCACCTGTTTGTTTTTTTATATTTTTCTTTGCCTATCAATATGCACTTAATTACCTTCATTTTGTGATAATGACAATGGCTGAGCCGGCTGTTGGAAATTAAACACTTGTCGATCTTGTAAGGTTGCTGTTGTAGGGGCATAAACAATTCCTTGTGGTGTCTGATACATTACAACACCAGGTGTCATAGCTGTAGCAGAAGGAGTACCTAAAACAATGAACATACATGGAATTTTCAAAAACTACTTCAGTTTAAGTGATTCAATATAAATGTATTCATGCAATAATTTTTCATTAAAGTTGAAATTCTGCAAAAAATGTAAAGTTCAGATGATTGTCTAATAACATGCACTGTTTAAATGTATTGCTTCTATTAAGTTTAGAAAGAGTAAAAAAACTTCAAAATTTACCAATAACAATTTGCACTCTTGTGGCAAATTACACAACAATCTATAATGTAGAATACTTAAATGAGATTATAACATTGGTTGCAATGAAATACCGTGATTTCCCTGTGAAATAAAAAACCGATAATTTCACATGTGAAATAAATCTGGTAATATCACTCCTCTGATATCATACAACAATGAGTGTTGACAAGATGTTGCATCAAAACAATTGGGAATGCATAGAAAAAGAAAAAGTTCCTTTGATTTTTTACTTTATTTTCATTAAAAACTCCATTGTCAACGTAATAAAAAAGAATAATTAATCAAAGAATAAAAATATTGAAAAATATTCATCTGGTGCCTGAACAACACTGATAATTAACTCAAGCGCTACTCACATTCTTGAATTAATGTGTTGTTTGGTCACTTGTTGAAAATTTTTCTATATTTGAATTCTTGGATTAGTTATTCAATAAATCCTGCAAATGTTAGAGTGAAGAACCATATATCACATTATTTTTTTCATCAGGTTATGTTTGCTGTTCAGGCAAGTAAAATCTTTGTTTGCATTCACTGTTAGTATTTCATTGTCTTGTTAAATGCATTTAAATGGACAGTATAATAATAACACAAGGTAAAATGCCCACCAGGAACATAGCAAAAATAAGACAAACATGACAATTATTAAAGATCACTAACAAAATCATAAAATAATACTTTAAACTTCTGTATTGCTGAAACAGGCCAATTTTATCACATACATACAAAAAAAGTTTCATTAATTTCTAAATTCACAGTACATTAAAGCTGGTGGTAAAATATTATTTTCGTGCAACCTGTTTGTAATTTTTAATTTCACATGTTTTCGGTGCTTTAAACTCATTCACTGTGTTATGAGCAAATTGGTAAAGAAGCAATATGTAAGCTATTTTCTTATACTTCTTTCATTGTGAAATCACCATTGTAATGGCCATGCACATACATGTACCACTACCTTTATGACCCTTATCAAAATTCTAAACAATGCTATAATATCTAACTTACTCAATGTCTGTAATACATTAGATGATGAAGGTGCTGTCGATGAGGATGCAGTTGTAATAGAATGGGATGTTTCCGCAAACGTTTGTTGATGTAAGCTGGTCCCTACATCTGAAAAAATAAATAAATACACGAATGAACTCAGATGTAGATCAGCAAGACGGCAAGCTAATGACAAATTGGGCATAATATACTTGTACAGTCTTCAATAATCAATAGGTGTCAGACTTTAACATGTTACATGTAATTACAAGAAAAAATACATTCCTCATAAAAGCAGTACATGTATTAGGAAATTTCTATTACACCAACTTCTTTTTGTTTTTTCCATATAAAAATGATAAATTCCAATGCATCATTGAAGTGCCATGGAATAGAAATCCATTCGGTACATTAATAGTTCCAAATAGAAGAATTGTTCTGGAATGTTATTTCCATTGGAAAAATGTTACAGTTTTTGTTATGAGTAAGGTAACCTGAATAAAGTCTGTCCTGTTCCCTGTCTGAATAAAAACACTTACTTGGTATAGAAACAATCTGATTAGAGTTTGGTAATCTGTATAATGTTTGACCTGTTCCCTGTCTGAATAAAAACACTTACTTGGTATAGAAACAATCTGATAAGAGTTTGGTAATCTGTATAATGTTTGACCTGTTCCCCGTCTGAATAAAAACACTGTCTTGGTATAGAAACAATCTGATTAGAGTTTGGTAATCTGTATAATGTTTGACCTGTTCCCAGTCTGAATAAAACACTTACTTGGTATAGAAACAATCTGATTAGAGTTTGGTAATCTGTATAATGTTTGACCTGTTCCCCGTCTGAATAAAAACACTTACTTGGTATAGAAACAATCTGATTAGAGTTTGGTAATCAGTATAATGTTTGACCTGTTCCCTGTCTGAATAAAAACACTAACTTGGTATAGAACCAATCTGATTAGAGTTGGGTAATCTGTATAATGTTTGACCTGTTAACTGTCTGAATAAAAACACTTACTTGGTATAGAAACAATCTGATTAGAGTTTGGTAATCTGTATAATGTTTGACCTGTTAACTGTCTGAATAAAAACACTTACTTGGTATAGAAACAATCTGATTAGAGTTTGGTAACCTGTATAATGTTTGACCTGTTCCCTGTCTGAATAAAAACACTTACTTGGTATAGAAACAATCTGATAAGAGTTTGGTAATCTGTATAATGTTTGACCTGTTCCCCGTCTGAATAAAAACACTGTCTTGGTATAGAAACAATCTGATTAGAGTTTGGTAATCTGTATAATGTTTGACCTGTTCCCAGTCTGAATAAAACACTTACTTGGTATAGAAACAATCTGATTAGAGTTTGGTAATCTGTATAATGTTTGACCTGTTCCCCGTCTGAATAAAAACACTTACTTGGTATAGAAACAATCTGATTAGAGTTTGGTAATCAATATAATGTTTGACCTGTTCCCTGTCTGAATAAAAACACTAACTTGGTATAGAAACAATCTGATTAGAGTTGGGTAATCTGTATAATGTTTGACCTGTTAACTGTCTGAATAAAAACACTTACTTGGTATAGAAACAATCTGATTAGAGTTTGGTAATCTGTATAATGTTTGACCTGTTCCCAGTCTGAATAAAACACTTACTTGGTATAGAAACATCTGATTAGAGTTTGGTAACCTGTATAATGTTTGACCTGTTACCGGTCTGAATTAAAACACTTACTTGGTATAGAAACAATCTGATTAGAGTTGGGTAATCTGTATAACGTTTGTCCCTGTTGTTGTAACCCTGTGTGACCATTTTGTTGCTGAATTGGAATCAGTGGTGTCCCTACAAAAAAATTACAAAACATGTTTAAATATTTTCATATAAGTTTATCTTGCATAAACATCTTTCAAAAGTAAGAGACAGATATAAATAAGTAATATCTTATTATGTTTCAAAGTACCTTTACTTCACTTGATTTCTACATGCACAAGACAATAAATTTAGTACAAAAAATTGAGATTTTGTACACATTTTTGGTTTTTATATCTGTTACTCCTAGACAAATAAATTCAACATTTAAGTTACAGTACTAATACATGTATGATAAATTAAAATGAACTTGAAATTGTGGTTTGGTGTAAAGAATGATACTTCTTGTAACAAAAATTCAAAGCCAAGCATTTAAACTTTGAAGAAATGTTTTAATTGTTTTACAGTACACCCAAATTGCAGCTGCACCTTTGGTTTCATTATTAGGCCATGTCAGTTTTTTATTTGTCTGTATCTACTTTTTTTTCAAAACCTACATGTACCATCTAGTAAGGACGAAAATAACACAAATGAACCAACTAAACATGCAATACAGTTTGACTACATGTATATTTGTAACACCAAAATCATTAAAACACAATAATTTTATCTTACAAACTACAAATCCAAACAGAAACTCTTTATTTTGACTCAAATAATCACCACGTTCTTATTTACATTCATAAAAATTATAATTTCTAGATTTACCAAAAAAAATTTCTGAAATATATTTGAATAATAATAAGGATGGGGTGTGATTGCCAATGTGACAACTATCCACCAGAGTGGGTGTTTTTGATGTCATATTGCCAGACAGTGAATGCAAAATAAACACAATTTTTGCATACCTGTCAATGATCCCTTTTAGTGGGTCACATGTGGGAATTTAAGGGCTCACCCAAGATTTTTCAATATCTGCCCAGGTCATAAAATTTTTGACCTAAGCAAACAGACAAAAGAAATAACTACCTGGCGGAACTAAAACTGTTCCCGGAGGTAAACCAGGAATCTGCACTGCCACGTTTGATGGTTTTTGTGGGATTTGTTGAGAAAGTCCTGTGGATGAGACTGTTACTGGGGCGGGTGAACTAGATGATGTCTGGATTGTTTGAATCACTTCCTGTGCGATGGATTGATGCAACGGTGAAGAGTCAGACTGACTGGAAGTTGTGTACACAGGTTTGTTGTTGTTCTCATTCTGAAAAATACAAAAAAAAAATCTTCATAAAATGAAACATCTTACGGGTACATTGTTTTTATTATCAACTTTTCTTGGTCTCCCTTCAACAAGATTGTTCAGATGAGAGCAACCTATTTTACCAATAAAAAAAACTGTCCAATATACATGTATCTATTTAGATTTAACATTCCGTGCAATATGAAAGTACCTGTTAAAGAAAATCAATATAGCCTCTTCATTTACAGGCTATTTCTCAGCATTGGAAAACATTGTTTTGTTCCTACTGAAACATGAATTAACAATCCCACACACTGTGAAGAAGTTGAAAATTTAAGTTAGAGTTATCTCCCATACACCATCAAGTATTAATGGCAATTGACCTTTTAAGCAGCTTGCTTTCACTACTAAAAATATTTTTCTGTTTTATAATTACTTTACATGTATCAAATGCAGCTTTGAGATTTAAATTTCTCCTGTTCTACTGAATGGATTTATAAAAAGCTTTCCCCAAATATAAACCTAATATGATTTAATCTCAGATAATTCTTTTTATCTGTAAACCCTCATAGGTACCTCAATCTTCATCGCTGAGAATGGTGCCTTATATTCTACATTCCTAGATCTTAACAAAAAAATATTTATTTGCAAATTAGTAATTATTTCTTTACCAAATTGATAAAATTGCACAAATTTAGTGGGAATAAACTTCAAATGGCTTCTTGGTCATAAATTCATTAAACCTACTTAAACAGAAGGCACCCAAATCAAGATTGCCATGGTTAAAAGGATGAAATTGTCTATTAGGATGATTGGGATTGATTAGAAACAGATGCTGAGAAAGATAAGGTCTGTAAGATTCCTATGAATCATTTTCACCTATATATAAACACAGATAAATATTTTGGCAGCTGAAGCTTATATACCATTTCAGATATATTTACAACACATGGTCAAAATATGCCTAAGGCAATCAGCCAAACTTGTAGGGTGTACAGCACACTTATATCTCTAAACTTCTGTCTGTCAAATCAAGTGGAATATTTCATGCAGTGCTACTACACAAATCACTTAATCATTTAGTTTTCTCAGGCAAAAAAGTTTCTACAAAGGTTAACATCTGAATCATGTATATGTATATTTTTTCAAGAACTTTTTACATCATTGTGAAATGATAACACCATAATGATTTTTTTTAATTCATATTCCATGTAAAACAACATTTGAAAAAAATATATCAAGTAATTACTCAAATAATTTTCACAAAAGGAATCATGATAATTAATTATCATTATTTGGCAATAAACATATACGAAAGTTGGAAATCAGATCAACCAGGTTGTAATTATTCAAAAAAAAAAAAAAAAAAGAAAGAAAAAAAAAAAAAACTTGATACAATTTAGAGAAAGTATATTTAATTTATCACTTTTTTATTTACTGTCATACAATGTAAAAAAAAGTACATGTATGGCATGTTTTGAAGAAATTTAAGACTTTTTAGTTCTTGCTCGAATTCATTGTGCACATTTTACTTGAAATGTGTCCTTTATATATATTTATGGATCATATTTGTAACAAATACAATACAGTAAAACCTGTATATAAAGGTCATCCAGAGAAAACTGGCCTTTATTAGAGAGATGACCTTTGAATGGAGGTCCAAAATGCATAGGTATTACTTCTGCTGGACAAGTAGAGAATGACCTGACAAGAAAGGTGGTGACCTTTTATAGGTTTGACTGTATCTTTATATCGAAAGTTATGATGATAATAAGCAGACTGACATGCTTATAATTTTAGTTATAATGGAAGAATGGTAGATTTAGGGAAATGGCATAATGCTAAAACCTATGTAATTCTGTAAATTGGTACAATTTAATAAAAAAATTCAGATCTATATTTTTTTTGTACAATATTGTGGTTTTGAAATATTTTTTTCATCAGTTAAGGTAACTATGTAAACATACTATTTACTTGTCACCCTTTTCATCAGTTGTTTCCCCTCTTTACTGTTGATTATAAAGTATTCAATTCTAGATTATTTCGGGGAAAAAATCTATAATACTGTTTGAAATGATGAAAATATCATATAATATCAGTGCAAGTTTCTTCAGATTTAATTGTTAATAAAACATAAAGTTAAACTTTAAGCTTGACATTCAATTAATTTTGACCAAATGATGTAGAAGGTTAGCAACTATAGGTCACCATATCACCTTTAACAATGAGCAAAACCCATACCACATAGCAAGAAATGAAAAGACCTAGAAATGACAAATATAAAACAATTCAAAGGAGGAAACTAATGACCTGCTTAATTACATAACAGTAACCAAATAACAAATATGATATAAAGCAAGTTTTCATTTATATAAATGATCTGCATGTTTTTATCAGATTTTTTCCAATTTTGATGATAACAGAATCATCATAGTATAAACCAGTACTTAAATTGTGGTTAGTTTAACTTCAATCTAAGTATATACTATCACATAAAACAATCTAGTATGATCATTGAAAATAAACAAAACATTTCCATATTATTAAAATAAAACATCTAACTTCCTATGTATCATTTTATAAAAACAATCAAAACATTTCTACTTATTCCCCAATGCTGAAGTTAATTAACTCATAAGATTTATATGTGTATAAACCAGGAATTCTATTTGGTAAAGCAAGCACCCCTGCTGTGTAAATGGAATGAGTGAAAGCAAATTTTATCTATAAGTGTCAGAATTGTGTATAATGGCAGTGATAATATCCTGGTAAAAACATCTGGTTCCCTGCCAAATAAACAGTAGCAGATAAGGAGGTCTCCAGTTACAGCCTGCACCTAATAAGTACATCACTGCCATAAGGGAGCTCCTACTGGGTGATTGATCACACATGTGCCTCTGTTTACATCTGTTTTACTATATCAGAATACTTTCTTCTTTGTTCTTTGGCATTTATTTGGAACTGTTATAATCTTTTGAAAACTGGAGGGAAACTTGGGTTAAAAAAAGTTTGAAAAGAAATGCACAAGAATCCATGACTTGACAATTAACTTAATTAAGCCACAACTAAAAAATGTTCTAAGATTTAAAGTCTCATCTTTTTGTTCTATATTTTTTATATATATACATTGTACAATGTACATACCAGATTGTTTGTAAAAGTTTTTATCACACTTCAGTTTGTAAGAGGTACTTTACTTTGACAATTTTGGTATTCTTAATTCCAAAAAAAAAAATTTGAACCATAACTGCTATGAATTTATTAACATACATGTATCAATTTATAAATACTACTTATAATCTATAGCCTGTTGGAGTTAAAATAAATTACCAATATTAATAAATCAGATTTTTTCAATTATATATTTATATAGCATGCGCAGAGCATCTCTATCTATATACATACATGTATGTTGTATTTCATTTAACTGTTTTCCGATGATTTTGTTGTGTATAGAAAACATAAAACAGTAAATCCCCCCCCCCCCCCCCCCCCACCAAATTGCAGGGATTGCAAGCTCCATTTCACTTCTTTTAATTGCTTTTACTATAGTCTTAGTACCAGAGTGTCCTACCACAGAGAAGGTAATTAATTACCTGGGAGTCAAAAGTCAGCAATATGAAAATAGTCTATTGAATGGCTGTTGCAATCATAAGTGTCTATATTCTTTATAGAAATTAAAGAATTGTAAAAATATATTTACATAAGAATTCTTATGGACAACTTTAAAATATTGACCAAAAAAAAAAAACTGCTGTCTAAATTATTCACAGTTCTTCTGAAAAATAAGGAAAGGAGGGAATGTAAATTTAGGTTCCCAATATGAAATACATAATTTATTACTGTTTTTTTTTTATGATTGATAAAAATCATATGGACATGACATCAAATTTGATTTTTTATAAAGATTTATAGAATTTAAAAGGACTTTATATTTGTAAACAACATTTCGAGATAATAAAACTAAATGTATCCCTTTTTAAGACTTTCAACATTACTGATTGAATTTGATGTATAAAAAATTACTTATAAAAATATATAAACAGATAAATATACAATCCCCTCCTTAAAACTTGGTACTACTTTTCGTAACTACACAAAAGTAAAAAAAGAAACAAAAAATATTTAAAAAAATTCAAATTTCTTATAGAAAATAGCAACTATAACAAACAAAAACTTGGTTTTATTTTTTGTATCTTCACAAAAACAAAAACAAAATATACACAATTTAAAAAAAAAAATTGTATTGAATAAAAAAACAAAAAGCAAATATGACAAATAAAACATGATATATGTAATATTGATTTCCTGTTGTCATATTTATATTTTTAATACTTCCTAAATATGGTGTGAACATCCTTATACAGTCTGAGTCAACAATTAACATATGTCTATTAACAACTCAGCTTTGAATCATCCATTGAGGGAAAACATATTTTGCTGTTTGTCAAACTATATATGTTAAATAATAAAATGAAATATGACTAAAAAATTACATTTTCAATTTGGTACATTATTAATCTGTATTTTAATTTATTTATTTAATAATCTTGTACTAAAAAAAATAAAAATAATTAAAAAAAAATCATATATAATTATGTTGATCATATCATTATTTCAAATATGATTCCGAGAAAAAAACTCAAATGGATACATTTTGCTGAAAATTAAACTGTAACATGTTAAGGCATCACTGCCATCAGGGGAAATTTTTTTTATAATGGAACCTCAATCATTGAGAAATTCATTTATGATAACCATCTGCAAAGAATTTTTAAAACAGCAAGGTACCCCAACACTAAATTATGTGCTTAGAAGAACATCCACATACAAATGAATATATGAACAGTTATTTTCTTATGACTCTTCCTGAGAACTCAAAATTTATATTAATTTTCAAATGATGTTTAAAATTTTATGTGATGTACAGGGCAATCAGTCTTTGTTTTTATCATCAACTTTCAAAACATACATGTACATTGAACAATATGAAGTACAATGTATGAGGGTGTTGTGGTTGTACTTGTCTGTAGGGGAAGGGACTTCATAGTATATTTATTCAGATAAAAATAAAGATAAGCAGATAATAAGCCAAATCATTATTGTACCCATACTTGAGGATTCAGTTTTTACTTCGCACATGGATCCAGGATTTCAAGTCACAAGGGGCACTCACACAGATACTTTGTCGTGATTGTAGTTGACCAAGACATAAAAAATTGGACAAATAATGTTTTTTTTCTTTCAATCTTTTTACAGACTAATAAAAAGGCTCTACAATTGCTCATTTAATAAATCTTCATTTAACCATGTTCATGAACAATTTCATAAAGTGCTTGAACAATGAATTCATCTTATAATATGGCAATATTTTACTGATTTCACCATATATTCAAATACTTATTAACTAATTTTTTGTCCTAGCTAGTACAAGGTAGTAAACAAGTGACTTTCTGTTCTGTGACTATATCTGTCCATTTATCCAGTAATTTACCAAGTCAGTGCTTGTTGTTATAGTAATGTCCTTTTAAAATTTCGCCAGCCTTGGTCAACTAAGTATTGACAGGTTTTTTTGCGAAACCATGAAATGGCCTCATATCAATTTATTTTTTAAATCGTTTTTAATATCATTGACTTTCAAAACACAATTTTTTTATTCAACAATACTGAAAATAAAGTGTTAAGTTGTACTGTCTGTAGGGGAAGGGACTTCCTAGTATATCTATTCAGATCATGGAAGTAAAATGGGTCAATATAATACTTCCATGATTCAGATAAAACAAATTCAGATTAGCAGATTATGAGCCAACATAATTTATTATATTTTTTTTTTCTTTTACATACTTAATGCTTCAGCTTTCACTTCACAGATGACTCCAAAATTCAATTTAAGTCACAAGGGGCACACAACACAGATACATTGTACTTAGTTGTGTTTGAGAGATGACCAAGACACACAAATTTGAGTAAATAATGTTTTTTTTTTCTATCAACCCTTTTACACGCAGAAAAACAAAAAGGTTTTACATGTTAACATTACAGCTCAAGAGAAATTTATAAATTCTATCTCCCATCATAAAAGAAAGCCAGCTCAAATTTATCATCCTATTAAGTGACAATAAGTCAATTAAAAAAAAAAACTTTAGTTATCTTTCCAAGGTTTAGGTGTTGTATATGCCTCTCATCATACATTTACATGCAAGTCTTATGATGAGAAAAAAATGAAATGTCCTTTCCATAGATTGTTACATTAAGATTTGATGCTTTGTTAGTATAGTATTTCATGACTTAAATTTATGTTCCAACATGTTTCATGTGAAACCTATTCAAACTCAATTTATTGTAGTGATACTTCAATTTTCCATTATAATCTTCAATAATTGATGAACATGAAAGTAAAAATGTTTTTTAAGATATGAATTTTTTTAAGAGACCCTTTGACACCCCTCTGTGTGTGTTTAATAAGGAAAACCCACAAAATATCCATTTTGTACTTGCATATAATTACAGTGAACATTCTTTTTGGGAAAACAGTACTTTACATTAATCGATTATAATTTGCAGGTCAATTCCCCAACACTAATTTCTTGTGGTTTGAGAGGTTATGTTTTTTATATTGTTTCAATTGTATAATGACATTTATGATATCACCAGACCTATAAACCTCCATATCCCCTCTTTTCTAAGATGAAATGTTTTAAATCGAACCTTCAAATCAATATTTTAAATAGGTACAGAACTTAATTATTACTTTTTGTGAATAATTTTCATACCTTTAGATTTTCCTCCTCACTAACTGCATATGACAATTCAGTTTCTTCAAATCCAGTAGGATTCATTCTCTGTTCAATGGACATTGGTGCACTATTACTTCCAGGTGGAGGGTCAGGGGAATTCAGACATGTTTGGATTAATGCTTTACCGCTATCACTTGTGATCATCGGCTGTAACTTTCTTGTTGCAAATGTGTAAACATGTCCTGTTTCACTAGCTACCAGCAACATCACTTGAGTACCAGTTAGGGTAGATAGCTCATATGCCTAAAAAATGAACATCTGTTCCATACAGAATGTATTTCTAATGCATTCTTTGCTATAAATATTTATGATGGCATTGTGAACATTACATGCTGCCTTGTTTTCATAAAAATATTCTATTTTTTCTTGTATAAATTTCTTTTTTTATATATAGTTATCACTAATGTATTTCTATTTAATATCAGAGACATATACATGTACACATATGTCTCTGTTAATATTCTAATCAGAAGTCATTTTATGAAATCAAACATATATGGGTGTAAACAATATTATTATTTTCAGAGTGAATAATCTTAAGAAACACGTGCGAGTTACCTGTTTACTACATGCGCATAGTAAACAATCATTACATGCATGTAGGCTTACCTTTTTCATTATTCCAGTTTTACGCTTACTGAAAGTCGTGTAACGTCTTAGTTTATTTTCAATAAATTCCATTTTAATTTTAACCCGACCTCTTGTCTTTTTCCCAAGTTGGGCGCCAGTGTATGATCCATCTTCAGAATCAGATCCTTGTTCCAAACTTGACGGATCAATGTTTTCGTAAGTTAAACCACCAGAAGTTGTAATATTTTTCGGCATTACACCCGTTCCACTTGAAATAGTGGGAAACGCTGGTTGATTAATTGAATGGGAGTTGTTATTCATCATGTCAAACCTTAAATAACAAGTTTTCTTTCTTGTTTTGGCAAACCGTGTTTACGTTAACTCGACTTTCGCAAGAATGGGAGAAATCAGCATCAACTTCCCTTATTCTGTGGATTTGCCATAAACGGATATGGGGTTAAGCGTCCTGATATCTATGCACAGAAAATAGTGCGTAATTGATAATGCGCAGTCGGCATTTTGTATGTTTTCCTTCTTAATTTCACATTTAAGTTAGTTGGTACGTGTGTATATGAGTATGCTTCGAAAGTTATGAGCATGCAAAACTTAAAAACAATAAAGCAACAAAAATGTGTCAAGCGGATTAATTTTGCATTATAATGAGGTTGCCTTGTAAGGTAATGGCAGCCGTTCTAAATATGGTTGTCAAGGCCAAATATGGGAGCCATATTTCCATTTATGGAAAGAAATAAGGATATCAACAAAAGTAAATGCAAAACACCACGTGTTGAAGTTTTCATGTAAAAGCAAGAAAAAAGGGTTCGTTAATTTTCTTTTTTTATAGCAAGGTGTTCTAAACGAGTCCGTGTACAGATTTGCGCATATGTGTCATATGATATTGTCACCTGACAAGAAAAACATTAATTGCTCGTTGCAGTGATAGATTTATAAGGCGGGACCACATTTCCTTATAAAAAAGCAACAAAAAAAATGGTCTCTGAATAAAAACTGAAACTGGACCTCATAAATACTTTTATATTTAAAAGTCCAAGTATAGTGTTATAGTAGTTCAAGAAAAAACTTTTTTTGCATAATGCTTTTTATAGTAGCTCATTTTCAAAATCGTTGATCCTCTCTTATCTGTTGCAATTCGAGGTTACAACTTTTATTTAGTGGAATAGATATCAAGCTTGTGGAAAATTACCATCAACTTAGTTTTTTAACTTTACTTCATGATGAGAGGTTCTTTTTTGTCCAATATTTTGCTTGTCGATTTAACGGCTTAGTTCCAAGTTACATTCATTTGTCCAATCATGTTGTTCCCTTTTCTGTGTTCTTTCCTTTTTTGTGAGTGAAGAAGTTCAAAATGCATATAGCGACAAGTCTTGTCGTCAGCTACCGATTTGTTAGTAAATTCGTCTGATCCCGCATACAAGAAAAAGAGGTACTAAATTCGATGAAAACTTCAAGTTGTATATATACATATATAGGAGCTAACGGTAACTAGACCTAGTGACCCGTAATACTGGACTTTTGGTTATACTAATCACATTACTGTTAAGACAAAATTGACACATGAAGCGGATTGATATTATGCTTTCTATCGTGAAGCCTCGGAGAGAATGTAACATCATGGCATGGAAATAATACTTCCATGGTAACCTCTGTACATATATCCTGGATCTTAAGATTTACATTTTTGTAACTCCAAGGCCGACCCACTCAGGTCGAGTGATATAGCGGCAAACAAATCCAAATTTAAGCAACCACTTTCCTTTTTCATGTAAATTAATGTAAATTAAGATTAGAATCCTATAGGTTTACACAAAAGACATCACTAGCGAAGGAGCTATGTTTAGCCCCAACCCAAGTGACAGTTCAAAGAGGAATAACTCTATTTCTGAAATGTGTCTTTTTCATCTGTGAATCAGCAGGAAGCACTGAAATGTGTTAAGGTCTGTATTAATTAACATAGACAGTCTGCGATTTCCAAAACATTATCAACAAAATTAATAATAGAACCATCTTTATTATTTAAAAAATATATTTTGGACACAGATCGATGCCACCCTAGTGCATATGAGTGACGTGTGCAGCCTTATGATATATTTGTAACTACATGTATATAAAAGGTGGAAATTTCCGATAGGAAAAGATATGATAATAGCTTTATGAACTAGAATTTTACACTTTTAGTGACTCATTACAGTTTTGAAAACACAGTTAAAATAATCAACTTAGAAATACTCGAATTTCAAAAGATGATTTCTAACAAACAAACAAAAATCTCATTGCTATGCAAAATTATCAATCTTACAATAAGAACAGATGCACATTTTTACTATTCGTTTTTAGCTGAGTTATTGGTTCTCATCCTACATGAGCAAGACAGTAGGAGATAGTTGGGAACTCGCAGAACAAGCTCAAATCTAAGTCTGTCATATGCTCCCTCTACACGAGCAAGACAGTATATAGGAGATAGTTGGGACTTCGCAGAACAAGCTCAAATCTAAGTCTGTCTGTCTCACTCTACATGAGCAAGACAGTAGGGGATAGTTGGGAACTCGCAGAACAAGCTCAAATCTAAGTCTGTCTGTCTCCCTCTACATGAGCAAGACAGTAGGAGATAGTTGGAAACTCACAGAACAAGATGAAATCTACTTCTGTCTGTCTCCCTTTATATGAGCAAGACAGTAGGAGATAGTTGGGTACTCGCAGAGAAGGCTTAAATCTACGTCCAACTGTCTTAATTCACGGAGATATTTCGCCGGGGTTTGTCGGTGTCTTTTCATGCTTTTATATATTAATTTAAAACAGTTTTGAGACTTTGGTAATTAAGTTCCAATATTTTGTTCGTATCACGGAAGCATGGTGTAAATTTCTTCCATGTTTATATTCACAACTTACCCAGATCCGAGGCGATTCAGAACGACATGATCGCTTGTCATTCAATCCTGGTAATACTTTTGGTGAGATTAAGATGTCTATTTCACTCTCATTGAAGTTGTGTTGATGGGCACGGGTAACCGGTTCAATGACTCCTTAGCTAAACAGTTACTCGTCATGCAATACATGAGGGTCTAGATTGAGTTTACATAATAGATCATAATGGGCCAATGCTACAGAAAAACGGACCAAAAAAAAAACTAAAGAAAAGAGAAAAAAAAAGACATTTTCGTCTGATTATAACATCCCCACATCCTCAATGAGGTCAAGGGAAGAAAAAGAAGGCATTGGGTGTAGAATTCAAAGAGGGATGGTACTAGGGAGTGCCACCTGAAAAAAAGTGGGTCTCAATTTCGTAGATGTCTACGTGATTAAAACAAAAACGGAGAAAGGAGGTGGATCCTTAACGGGTCCTTCGTTCCAAGATGATGAACTTCAAATGATAAGCGAACACGCTATTTAGTGGGTTCCATCTCTGGGTCCGCTAATGATGATTATGTAGTGATGAACGTAGATTTACGTAGGACAGTCACACAGCACACCCGTCAGTCTCATCTTTAGTTCCAGCGGTTATCTATTAAAGTTGTATTGCTAAATAGAAAATGAATTTTGACTATATGCATATATATATGTGCCAAATAAACCTAAGATAATCATAAAACTAAAGGCTCCTAGTACCCCAAAATACTCAACTAGAAAATATACCTCTTTATCGCTGAAGAGAACTTTACTCTTGACATATTTAACTCCAGTTCAAATCCCGAAAGTTTCAAAACCTATGGTTTAAGTTGACAAGATCTTTTTTAACAGCTCATTAGTCAAAAATTTGCACTAGCAGCCGTGTTTTCATTCGATCAGAAACAAATGTGGATGATTTGCAGAGACCTTTCCATACACTATTCCTGACGGGTTTAGTTGGCCTAGCAGTTTCAAAATGTGACTTACCGAATTAGACTATTTACCGGATTTGTAATAACATAAGCAACACGACGGGTGCCACATGTGGAGCAGGATCTGCTTACCCTTCCGGAGCACGTGAGATCATCCCCAGTTTTTGGTGGGCTTCGTGTTGCTTAGTCTTTGGTTTTCTATGTTGTGTCATCTGTACTATTATTTGTCTGTTTGTCTTTTTATTTTTGGCCATGGCGTTGTCAGTTTGTTTTCGACCTATGAGTTTGACTGACCCTCTGGTATCTTTCGTCCCTCTTTCAGACAAGAAGAGAAAATGTGATTTTTATGTAGAGTTTCGATGGGAGCTATGCGTCACCAATGCCACACTGTTTTCAACTCGATCAACTTAATTTCACGATGTCTGTTTATAGAGAATCGCCCGTTTATTAATCCTCAAAGTATTTTAAACAATTACGGAATGTAGTCGCAGAAATTAAGAAGTCTTTAAAATTGACCAACAGATTGGAGCTGGCGATTATGGCTTTCATTCGATCGGATTCGACTACCAGTATGGGGACTTGGTGTAAATGTAATATCCACTTGATTAAATAAAAAGAAATAGAACTAAATGGTATGTCGTAAACAAAGCTAACAAGATGCAAGTCTTTCGAGAATCTTTCTTTGGCTTATAACTCCAATTCTAATCTTATAATAAAAATATTTCTTACCCATAACGTAAAGACAGCTACTATAGTGGTGATGCATCCTTTTTCAAAATCCTTGAAAGTTTAATTTTCGGCTTTAAAATACACTTAACGAGACGGCCATTAATTTTGTTTTCACTGTAAGATTTATCTTATTTTCACAAAAAACATATTGAATCGCGTGACTTCGGGGTTGATGGAATTACTGACATCAGAAAGTCTGTCAATCTTTCAGAAGGAATTCCGGTTGATTTATGTTACATGTCCAGTGGAAAATATTACATGCATATACAGGAAAGAACAAAGTAACAATGAAATATATAAGTAGATACTTCAAAGTGCCTCAGCGACCATGACACTGGACTATAAAGTAAGACAGTAACTGGAAAACTTCAATACAATGTATGTTGGACAGAAATTTAGCTCTGCAATAATTCACCTATTAAAGGACACCTAAAGGAGTTGCTGCAAGGATTCTTTAACGTGCTGTAAGCGGTGCTCACAGACGGCTTTAAACATGCAGTTATGGTGGTACTCTCGCTAGAACAAAGTATTTGATTTCACGTCCCAATTAATTCCAACCAGGCCTTATAGTCATACAAATTTGGAGTACGATTATATTACTCAGACGCAGAAATCAACCAATCATGATACTGGATAGCCGGGTGTTTTGAGCACAAAGTTTGTACTCCGATTACCGAGTAATTTTTTGAATGTAGGACAGAAAGTCCCGGGAAAAAAGTCACGGGACAAAAAGTCACAATTTTAGTTTTGAGATTTTTTTTTCTTTGATTTGAAAACACTTATTTTAAAAAGCATTTTGGTATTTTTCTTGAACTATTATTTATAAAGCAACTCTGCAAATAAAATTTATTCTAAAAAAATCAATAATGATAAAAAAAATTGTTAAGAAAACAATCTGCCATGTTGAATCTTGAATAGCATACCTATCTGTTTGTTTTCCTCCGTTCTTCAGGACTTTCCCATTTTAATGTTTAACCATATTTGTGAAACAGACAGGTGTTCGGTCTGTGTAGTTGTTAATTTATTCACAAATCTTGCTATACTTTTCTGTACCTGTTCCATTGTCTTTATCGTATTTTGTTTTGTTGGATCCCATACTGTGCATGTATATTCCACTGCAGGTCTTACCATGGAAACATTTGTAGCCACCTTTTCAGGTTTCGTGCAGCCTTTTAGATTTCTGCGGATAAACTCTAATGTTCTATTTCCTTTGTCAACTGTATTACCGATGTGTTAATCCCAGGTTACTGATTGTTACTCCTATAGGTATTTGCTGGCTTTATAACTGTCTCTAGTGTATTACCGAAGAGTTTGTAAATAGATATAGGAAGATGTGGTATGAGTCAACGTTTGTTTTTATGATATCGCTAAAGTGGAGACTCGGCCGAGTTACTTTGACTGATTCCAACTATAGCTGTTCGCACTTCAAGCTAAGTTAACTATTTTTCTGGGAGATTCTTGTTGGAATTAAAATGATTTAATACGAAAATGTTTTTTTTTTAATAGTGCACTGTGCATGTAAGCAATTTATATCCTTTTTGTTAGTTTTTTTTAATTGCAAATATGATTCAACATATTGAATATTCTGAAAATCATTTAAATGTAGATGTAAATTTTCTAAATCATATAGTAAGCGAGGTTGGAAACTCGTGGGCTCTCTTGGTAACCTAAACACTAAAATTATTTACAACTTATGGGTCCGCATTCGAGTTCGTAGTTACTTTTATCATTTCCGGTGTAAAATAGTGCAGACAGCAAAACACTTTCAACAACAGTTCCGAACATTATAACTATTTAACAGTCGTAAGTTGTACGTCGTACATTGATTTTTTTCAGAAAAAAGTATAATGATCACATATATTTACAGAAAAAAATTGTTTTGTTGGATCCGTATAATATTCAGCTTTTCAAACGTCTTGTGACAACAGATCATCATAAATGTCTGACAGGTATGGAGATAAAAATCTGTCACAAAACGAATGATTACAAGACAACCTCTCAATTTGAACCGTTTTACCATTGCCATCCTATCGGTGTACACAAAACAGAAGAGGAAGATTATTTATTATTTCAATTAAAGAGTTAATTAAGATCCTTGATCATGTTGATTGGCAGAATGTCATTAACATATTGTCTATTGATGAGGGTATAGTAATGGGGTAACCCACATGACAATGGCAATGATTATAATATATTTGTCAAAATAACATTAACTATAAACATTTTACTTCATTTGACGCTAACAGTAGCTACAAAATGAGATTTGATGAATGGCGATAAAAAAATAAGTCTCATTTTATGCTAACGGTGGCGAAAAAAGACGTTTGACGCTTGACGATAAAGGGCATTCCTAACCTCATTTATGGACATAACACTATGATTTGATAACACAGTTACAAAATGAAATGAATTATTAACTTTTCATACATGCAGTGATTACCTTGACCTATTGTAGTATGGGGTGCGCTGTGCACCATCATGCTTAAATTTCCCTGCACCGCTTTTGAATTTTAACACTTAATGTTTCATTTGTTGTCCGCCACACTTTAAAGAAAAAGGTACTGCAAAAAAACAAAAACCATAAAAAACTTTTCTGCCTGATGTTGAAGCTTTTTTTAACATTATTATATTAGTAATTATAAAAAGAGGAGATGTGGTATGATTGCCAATGAAATGACTATCCACCAGAGGCCAAATAATGTAGTTGTAAGCAACTATAGGTCACTGTAAGACCTTCAAAAATGAGCAAAACCCATACCACACAGCTAGCTATGAAAGTCCCCAACATAACATTTTGAAAAACAATTCAATTTAGAAAACCAAGGCCTGATTTATTTACAAAACAACAAACAAAAAACAAGAGCCCCAGTGTAGACCAAAATAAACCCTTATACCATATATGGTCCCTTTTGGAACATTTAAATCATTTACTTTAATTTCGGTTTAAGTACAGTTTATCATGTTTATGGTTAGGGTTAGGTAAGGCTTTACTTTAGGTTTTGGGTAGGTTTAAGGGCTGTTGTTAGTATTGTATTGCTCTACTTGATAAATTGTGAATTTCGAAAGTAAATGAAGGCCCGTTGGTATTGCCATTAAGGGAACAGGTCATTTCGCCCTGATCACCTGTTTGCTCCAGGTTGATTGGCTTTGAGTCATTTAGCTACCAAAAGTAAGACATTTTGTCTATGATTGGTAAATGAATTAATAATATTAACTCTATTATAAAATGTATTTACCTAAATTTTAGTTAAAACAGTTTAATTTTGTTAAAAATTATGTTTGAATAAAGTTTTACCTTTTTTGAACATTCTGTCTTCCTAAACTTATATAGGTCATTGTTAGCACTTAAATATGATGGTATGTAACCATTGTAAGTTTTAATATGAAAAATTGCCAAAGTTTTTCTATTATCTTGTTAAGAGAACTCATTTATTGTCATGATTGTAATGATCTAATCTTACAAAAATGGAAGGTATGTTGTTTTATTATTACAGTAAAATGAATACAAAAAACTTCAATAAAATTTTGACAAAGATTTTCTAGTTATGAGGTCCAAACTACAGCTGAAAATGTTTATATCTCCCGTTGTGAATAGACAATTCTGTTACAGGTCTTGTATATAAATATATACAGGGATAAACATAATATAAATAAGTTAGAATTAAAGCTCAACCAGAGACCAAATGACATAGAAGTTAATAGCTATAGGTCACCGTACGATCTTCAACAATGAGCAAAACCCATACTGCATAGGCAGCTATATGAGGCCCTAAAATGACAAATTCAAACAAGAAAACTAACAGCCTGATTTACAAAATTTACAGAAAAACAAATATGAGATACAGCAACAAACGACAACCACTGAATTACAGGCTCCTGACTTGGGACAGGCACATACAGAATGTGGTGGGGTTAAACTAGTTTGAAGTGCCAACCCACCCTCTAACCTGGGACAGTGGTATACCAGTACAACATAAGTACAAAGACTATTATCTATATATTACACATACATCTATAATGTAAAATTATGTTACACAGTAATAGATCATGTAGATGGATTTATTTCATCCAAATTTTGCAAACAGCCAAAATATAAATGATGTAAAAGTTAAATTCCAAAACAAGAAAAAAAGGTTTTCCTCTGTAATTCTTCAAATTGGGTCAGCACAATTTCCAGCATTTAGTATAGGAGTAGTGAGTTATTTGAACACTTTATCAATATTAAAATTGTTAATGAATGCAATCACCACACATTTCTTACTAATGCAGGTATTTCAAGAAAATGACTTTAACGATTTTGTTGTAGTTTAAGATGAGAAAATATTTCCCCAGAAAAAAATATAAAATGTCATTCCAGACACTAAAAAAAATCTAACACAATAATGAAAAAAATATCGAAATCATCTTGTTACCGAAAAAGGTGTCAGGCACTCTGCAATTGTTCCTGTTCATTTACACCTCTGGCCATTGATATGTTTCCAATTAAAACCTATTATCAATTGATTGATTGATTGATTGCTGTTTAACGCCACATCCAGCACTATTGGCTATTTCAAGGAGGAAGCTGGTGTGCCCAGAGGGAACCACTGACCTTGAGTAGACAAACTGACAATGCTAGTCAATTAAGATTGGAGTCAAACACATCTACGGTATCATGTGAGGGGTTCAAAACTAACAACCCCACTGGTGACAGGATAGTGATACAGTAATTGAACTACTTATATATAAATGATTAGACCATCTATTATCAAATATTTCTTTTTCAAAAACACTTAAACAGTACAGTGTACTATGTTTGTTCGATGCATTTCCAATTATGTGTCTAGAGGGTCAATTTTAAAAATATGTGGAATGTACCCTGTTCCTGGGTGCATTGATAACCTATGGCAACAACCAGATGCCCAGCACCCACTTCCTGAAGACCACATTCTTAAACATGCTTTTCTTCAAATTTGCATTGAAATCATATGTATTTCAAAAACTGTTTTTATGTTGAATATATGTACTTAAATAAATTATTGCAGTTTTGTTTAGAGCTATTTTCCTAATGCTTGTTGTTAAAAGGTTTTGTTGGCTTGCTTGCTTGCTTTGTTTGTATAAATGTTTGCTCAAGCATTGTAATTAAGATTGACATCTGCAATCAATAGATAGGCGGGGCTTCAGCTTGTATACTTAAATGTTATTGGATGTTAAGTATAATGCAGAGTATAATGTATACAGGCTGAAGCCCCGCCTATCTATTGATTGCAGATGTCAGTCTAAATTACAATGCTTGAGCAAAAATTTATTCAAACAAAGCAAGCAAGCCAACCAAACCTTTAAACTACAAGCATTAGGAAAATAGCTCTAAACATTCAATGATGTTTATGTTAGAACCTTGAGTTCTATCTTTTTTGAGAACACAGAAGTGTATTTTGTATCTATTCACTGATAAATTATTATTTAAGCAATTCTTGTGCTATATGTTAAATTATTAAAAATGGCCAAATTCTACCAAATTGGTCACAATCATCATTATGGTATTTAGTTTGAATAATGTTTGATGACCCTGACTGTCAACCCAGATGGCCAACATGGCTAAAAATAGAACATAGGGGTAAAATGCAAGATTTGCCTATTATTTAAAAAACTACTATAAATAGAGAAAATCTGACAGGGCCAAAAATGTTCTACCTATTGTCTATTTAAGTCAAAACTTTCAGACGACTTCTTATAGGAGTTATATTGCCTTTGAATGACAAATTTTACCATTTTTAAAAATTTTTGCCCATTATCTTGAAAATTGTAATAGATAGATAGAAACTTCAAGAAGCAAAAATGATCAGCAAGACAAGATCTACAAATAAGTCAAACATGGCCAAAATCGCCAAACGACTCCTTATTAGAGTAATTGCCCTTTAATGACAATTTTTACCAATTTTTTTCATAAGTGCCTAATATTTTAAATACTATAATAGATAGATAGAAACTTTAAAAGCAAAAATGATCAGCAAGACAAGATCTACAAATAAGTCAACATAACCGAAATCGTTAGTTGACTCCGTATTAAAGTTATTGCCCTTTAATGACGATTTTCCCAATTTTTATACGACCGCAAAAATTGAAAATTTTTTGGTCGTATATTGGTATGACGTTGTCGTCGTCATCGTCCGGCATTGTCCGAAGACACATTGGTTTTCGCACTCTAACTTTAGTTTAAGTGAATGGATCTCCATGAAATTTTACCATAAGGTTCAATACCACGAAAGGAAGGTTGGGATTGATTTTGGGGGTTATAGTACCAACAGTTAAGGAATTAGGGGCCAAAAAGAGGCCAAAAATAAGCATTTTTGTAACTTCCAGACAATAACTTGTGTGTAAGTGTATGGATCTCTCTGACATTGTACCACAAGGTTCCATATCACAAAAGGAATGCTGGGATTGATTTTGGGGGTAATTGCCTCAAAATTTTAGGAATTAGGGGCCTAAAAAAGGGGAAAAAAACAAGCATTTTTCTAGTTTCATGACAATAACTTGTGTGTAAGTGTTTGGATATTTTCTGAAATTGTACTACAAGGTTCCATATCACAAAGGGAAAGCTGGAATTGAGTTTGGGGGTAATTGCCCGAAACGTTTAGGAATTGGGGGCCAAAAAGGGGCCAAAAATAAGCATTTTTCTAGTTTCCAGACAATAACTTGTGTTCAAGTATATGGATCTCTCTGAAATTGTACTGCAAGGTACCATACCACAAAGGAAAGGCTGGGATTGAGTTTGGGGGGTGATGAATCATAAGGGGGTTCAAAAAATTTGGGGGGGGGGATTT